TGAGCAGATGAAAGTGTGTTAAAATTGTGGTTATACTTGCACATATCTGTGAATATACCAAAATCCACTGACTTGTACACTTTAAATGGGTGGATTGTATGCTATGTGAAGTATGTCTCAAGAAAGCTGTTCATTAAAAGAGGTGAGTTCACAGCCCCAGTTTGCATGGCATACAGCATACACTGGTAAAGACATGCATTAGAGCTGTTTTAAAGAATGCTAGTTGCACATAGGAATACAGATAGTGTTCCTTCAGTGAGAGAATGTGTTCACCACACTGGGGTGCATGGAATACACTATGTAAAGACATATATTAAAAATATTTCAAACAGTGGGGGGAAAAGATTTGAGAGCTCCTTAAAATGTCCAATTTGTTGGGGAAATGGCCTTAATATTCTTAAACCTAATTCTGATCATTTCCTATGGTATTTGACTCAAATCAGTAATGACTTCTTCATGACTTTGCTTATTACCCTATCTTTACAGAGATGTATTATTGAAGTTTGACCTTTTGCTTTGAAATGTGTTTCAGTAGAGGGTCAGTCCTGACATTGAATCCCAGCAGGCGCCTGCTAGGCTGGGGATCGACTGACGCCCTGGGCCACATTGTGCTGCTCACTGGTCTTTACGGATTGACTTGACCCTGCGTTTTGGGGCTTAACGCATTTCCTTTCTGAACTCATGAACTTAGACGTACGGCCACAAGTACTGAAGGGGATCATCGAGGAGTCATTCCTCAGTCTACTTGAAAGCTATTGCTTCATTTAAATAATGAACAGCTTCCCTTCTGAGAAACCTGCAATGAAGAACTGGCCAGACCTTCTCTCCTGTGGTGCTCAGGACACGGAACCATGGGGCCGGGAGGGTTCTTGGAGACCTTCTGCAACTCTCTTTTACTCCTGAGGAAACGGGCCCAAGAGGTGAAGTGTAAAGAAATCACCAGGTACTGGGCAAGAGAAGACTAAGTCCCCTAGCTCATGGCTTTTGCCACTTTTCATTGCCTGTGAAAGCTAAAAAGAAAACAAACCCCCAGTTATTCATCTCCCCTGTCTCCTCAAACCCAACCATCTATTTCTAAAATCAAGTTGCAGCTGTTTCTGCAAGAGTGTAGGGCAGCCTGTTCCCATCACTGAAGAAATGGGACCGTCTTGGCAGGGAAAGCATTGCTCTGAGGGGTAGCAGGAGCCCAATCTCTCCCTCTGCTCCTCAGGGCCCGGCCCACAGGCTCTGCCTTCACAAGTGCCAGAGGCTGGAAGAGCATCCTCTCCCTCCTAATGTAACCTAATTGCTGCCTCCCTGCTAGCCCAGGCACTCAGCATTCCCTGTGCCAAGCTCTGGCACCCACCCAGCCCCTCCTTGAGGCAAAGCCAACCTCCAGACTCCCTTGTCCCAGGAACCCATCCAGAAAGGCCTTAGCAGTCAGCAAGGAGGAGCTCTACCACTGCCTGGGGGGTCCAGTTGCCCCAGCTCGTGCTGCCTGGGTGGGCAGCCAGGACATCTCCTCTGTAGAGACCTGCCCCAGCTCAGCAAAGAAAAGACGAAAAATGGAAAGGACAGATCAGTGTGGCCCTGAGGTGCTGATGAGGGTGGGGTGTGAGAGACTGCTTGCTTTGGCTAACCCTTCCTTCTGGGACTGGGAGGAGCTCTGAGTGCCACATGCTTTACTCTTCGGATCCCGGAACCACTCACACTCTGGATGCCTGGGAATCTGCATGCCAGCAGGTGAAGCTGGAACTGGGGCAGTGTGGGCCAGTCCAGGTGATGCCTCTTCTTCACAAGGAAGCTTTGCAAGCCCTCTCCACTATTCCCTTCCTCTGGAGCAACAGTGCCGAGTATGTCCAGTGATGGCCTCCGTGTACCCTTGAGATTTATTATTAGGAGTGCCAGGACAGGCTCATCAATTCTTTGGCCTATGTATGGTAGCTCTACCTGACCTGACGAGTTTTCAAAGGGTAGGCAGAACATGCGGGGGCCCGCCTCTCTCTACAGCCAGCCTCTGTGTCCCAGCCACATGTTTACCCTGCAGCTTCTAAAGCCCCACCAGCGAGTCACCATGAAGGGCAGGGTGGCATTCATTCTCTACAAGCCTATACTTTCATGTGTTGTAGCAACATTTCTCAAAATTGAGAACTCACAGATGCTCAGCTATGCCTGCAGACCCCTAGGGCATACCCAGGCCTAGCTAGAGAAACACATGAAGTAAATTCTTTTCTCTCATTTGAGTTGATCCATTAGCATGAGTGACACTGTAAACACAAAGAGAAACTCAGACCCTGAAGCCAGAAGGCATTATCTGCTGTACTGTCATCATCTCATGATTCAGAAGGTACTGATAATGACTGATTTTTTTTTAAACTTAGAATGAAAGAAGAATCAAAACTCCTTTTAGAACTCATGGACTCTTCCCCCTCCAGCTCACCCACCCCAGAACTTCCAGGGATCCCTAGATGCCATTTTGAGGAACAGGGTTGGAGAAGAGTCTTGCCTTGAACGAGCAAGACCTCCCTCTGAGGAAAGAGCAGGAGGTGGGCCTGGGCCGGGTTGTAGCCCCTGTAGCAGGGTCAGACTAAGGGAAACCCACTGGCCACAGGGTTCTGAGTTGGGAGGGCCTTGGCACCTCCTCCAAGGCCATCTGATTCATGACTCTTGTCCGTATCCCACCTGGTCCACTACTGGACAGCTCACGCTAATGCAATGTCTTGGCAGCCAGTTGGCTGATCTAGAGTTTTCCTGGAGTAGTTTTGCTCCTGACATCTGGAACCATATTAAATTAAACAACAACAACAAAGATATTGGGGCAGAGAGCAGGCAGGCCTGATTTGAGTTTGCTTTCTTTTTATATGTAAATAAATACAAGAAGTTCATTGGAACAGCCAGTGAGTGTACTGATTTGCTTCTGCAAAAAGTACAGATGGGCAAGATGGGAGTTTGGAGGAGACACACAGATGGAGCAGTCTTTTCATTTTGATTGTCACTGAGCAGAGACCTGGAGCTGCTGAGGGTGTCAGGGCTCACAGATGCAGACTCACAGGGAGGACGAGTGATGTGGACACACACAGGCAACAGCGGCAGGGAATGTGTTCCTGCAGGTTCAGATACACGAGGACACATAACCAGGATGGGTGGGAACTTCAGCACGAGTCCCTGGTGTTCCCCGTGGGGACAGAGCTGAGTGCTCAGGGACGGCTGGGGATTCCAGAGGACAGACAAGCTGCTCCTGCAAACGCCACCCCCTTAAAGAATGAGCCCTGTCTGCTTTGGGTTTGCTCAGCCAGGTAGCGCTGTCTGGTGTGTGGGGGGCTTGATTAACTGAGTGATTGTGCACTGCTGCTTGTCGGAAATCAGTTTTATTTCGGGTCCCACTTACATGCAGGCATGTGCATGCTAACCTTGTTTTTGTGCATTCTCGTTATTGAAAATTTTGTACAGAGTTCTGAGCAAAATGCACATCTGCTAGCCTGTCACATTTTTTTCCAGCCCAAAGAACTTTTTTGTTTACTACGTTGCTATGTAAAACATTTGAAATTTGTTACCTTTTCATTTGGTTGGTGAAATTCAACAGTTACTTGAATTTATATGCCAATGTAGGTTGAAATGTATACACAGAGCTGGTTTTGGCTCTGTTTAGAGGAATGGTGGGTTACCTCTGCCTGGGTAGCTCAGCTCCCTCGGCTACTGTTGATAAACTTGAGATACACCCAGCTGGCCTTGCAGTACAGAGAGCCCCTTGGCTGCCTCAGCTGGAGAAGCCTAAGGCCATGCAAGATGTCTGTGGTTGCCCTTGCTGAGACCTGCTGGTGGAAGTGCTGCTCTTTCTCTGAGCGGAACAAGGACAACGCAGGTCCTGTAGAGACTCATGGGCTGTCAGAACTCAGCCCTCCTTTGCCACCACTGCTGTGTGCTGTGGCCTGTGGGGCGGGGAGAACCTGCAGTGCTCTTTGGCTGGGAATCCCACCTTCTTCCTGGCTGTGTCTCAGATGGGCAGAAGACAGTTCCACCCATTCTTTTTGGGTCTTAGTTCTCTGGATAGGTCTACCTGCTTAGTGAAAAAAGAACCAGCCCTAAACTAGAACACTGTCCTTAATCAGATGAGTACACCAAGGTGGGCATTGAGGACCGTAGGTGAAAATTCATTTGGCTACTGCTGGGGGGGGTTGCTGCTGACTGGGTGGGTGAGAGAAGGGGAGCCATCTCCTTGTAGTTTCCACCAGCTGTACCCGAACTACCAACGACTTGCCCAGCCCAGATGTGCGCAGGGCGTCATTGTTAGTCCTCAAGTCTATGAGGAGGCACTAGGCCATGCTTGTCAAATACGGAGTACAGGGGATTACTGAACTATTGCCCATTCCTCCCCGGGGCATCCTTCCTGTGAGCTAAATATGAGTGCTGGTAGCTGAAGAACTTAGCTGAATGGTTTGCATTGATGTTGACAAGGGAGCCAGTTGAGGCTAAATGGCCACTGTAGGTTTTTTTCACATGTTCCCACAAACCACCTCTTGATGCTTCTGCTAGAGACCATGGCGTGGCATAAAGCAGAGAGCTGAGCTAATGTGGCATTTTACAAAAGAGGCATTGCAGTACAGGAGGTAATGCAGGAAGAGCACGTGTCTTAATGTGGTGTCCTCCAGATGACATTGTAAGACAACACGTTCTCCTGATGTTTGTTGAGAGTGTGATGAAAAGGTGGCAGGATGCCCTGACCAGTGTGGCTCAGTGGGTTGGGCGTCAGCCCACAAAGCGAAAGGTTACCGGTTCAATTCCTGCCTCTCTGTGAAAGACGACCAATCAATGTTTCTCACGTGTCGATATTTCTGTCCCTCTCTCCTTCCCTTCCCTTCTCCACACCCATGAGCTGGCTCCCCCTTGACCAGGGCACAGCCCCACCTGGTTTCCCCTGGGGCTACATCCCCTCAGGGTCTAAGGGCAGAGGTTTTACTCTCCACTTTCTTCTTCCTTTAAATCATATTATTCTTAACACTGTATGTAACTGCAAGGGATTTTATTTTTGAATCACAATTCCAAAACCGCTTGTTGGAGGGGTAGTTTCAATTTATTAATGAACCAGAGAAAACAGCACAAAATGACTATGAAGGGTCCAGAAAGACAGACGGGGAGATTCATTTTGCCTGACTCGCCTGTGCATGCCAGAATAAGCCCTCTGTGTTTCATGGACTGTGCCCATGGACAGGGGACAGCCGGTCCTGAAGGCGGAGCACAGTTTGGCATCTGCGCAACGGGGGGCGAGCTCCACTCACCCGCTGGAGGATCATGAATCTTCACATCTGAGACCTAAAAGACAGCTTCTGAAAAACACTTTCCCAATTTGCCACTATATTTTTTCACATCTTTAGATTCATTTCCCATTTGTTTGAAATAGCACATCTAGAGATAGACTGCACACCCAGACCACCAGAGACTATTGTTCTATTCTTTGCCGCATGGTAGTCTGGATCCAGGTTGGTCCCTCTCACACACTGAAGAGAAAGTAAGACCCTACATTAGTGTTTTCAAAAGTGTGAACATACACTATTTCATTTGATCCTTAGAGCAGCCCTGGGAGGCAGGCAGGCGGGCATCCTGGTTCCAGGACCCAGAGGACAGAGGAGTCGTAACTGGTGAAGCTGGAAACCAAACCCATGTCCTCCGACTCCTAGTCCAGGGCTCCTTCCACTCCACAAGATGAACTGAGGTCTCCTGGAAGAGCAGGGCAGCCTTTCTGCGTAGAATAGATGAAATGTCCTTTGGGCTTGCAGACAAAGGTGATTTTAAGTACAGACCTCATCAACGAGCTCAGGGAATAAACCCACCCGAGCTCGATTCAACATCAACACTGGAGGGAAGAAAAGGACAGAACACGGGTGTGTCTTTGACAAGGGTGTCTTCCTGTTGTCTCGATTCTCACCCAGACCACGCTGGGTGCTGTAGCATGAACGCAGCAAAGTCCAGGAAGAACGAAGATATTCAAAGGACATTCTCATCGAGCAATTTATGGATTCCTTCACAAATCCTCTTGAGGTTGGGTCTACAGTTCCCATCCAGACTATAAAGGGTAGAGAGGAACTCCACATCAGCAAAGTGGTTGAAGACGTGGTTGATGCGCCCGTGGGTCCTGGGTGTCAGGTGTCGCTGCACCAGTTCATGCACCAGGTCCTTGCACTCGTGTAGGAGCTTGGAGAGCACGTTCTTTTCGAAGGTGTATTCCACCTCATAGAAGCTGATGATGGTCATGGCGGTCTGGTTCAGCTTCTTCCTGAACTTCTCCACGATGGCAACCTCCTCCTGGTTGAACTGGTTGTTCCGGTAGAGGATCCCAATTTTGATTGCCACCTTGATTAAGTCTTTCATGATCTTGTGGGCCTCCTTCTTGTTGCGGGTGTGCTCTTTGGTGACTTTGTAGAGCTCGTCAAAGATCTCGCTGCTGGTGTCATCAATCAACATGCTGGCCACAGTTTTGCTGGCTATTTTGCTCAGAATCTTCTTCTGAGCTTGAATGGCAAGGCTCTTGGAACAGAAAACATCGGGACCTATGGTAAGAAATGAAGGTTATGGCAATATGAGAACAATTTACTATTTTTCTACAAGTGAAACACACTAATTTGAACTTCTTAGAGCAAAAATTCATGCTTTTATAGCCCACACTCCCCATCTAAACCCCACCCACACCCGGTTGCCACAGTGCCCCGTCCATGTGACCTGCCTGTTTATTCTCTTGAACCTTCTAAACTGCGCTCTTCCCTCTCTGGGAGCGCTCGCCTCTTGTCTGGGCCAAATCTCACCTTTTTAGACCTACTCCATGCGTACAGCCTTCCAGTCTCTATTAGATGTCAGAGGACTCCCTATAATGGAAACCATTCAGTTTTACAAATGATACAAGAGGAGAGTTACTGCTTAAGGACAAGCATGTAGTCTTTTTTGACTCTCAGAATCCATATGGACTCAGAATCCATATGGACTGTTCACTGAGTCTCAGATGTATATTTTTCCAGTTTGATATCTTGGAAACCTGAGATGTGTCTTACAGTCATTGTTGCCAGGTGGCAGTTGTACCATAGTGCCATTACCTTTGTGCACATCAGTTTACAGAATAAGAGCCAGAGATTTGGGAGAAAAGTCAGGAGCACTCTTGTAGGAAATAACTCCCTCACCAGCGCTCCCGGTGGCATAGAGAACCGTGCCATGTGGGAAATTAGACCCTGACAGCTCCAAGGTGCTTCCACTGGTAACAATCTCAATGTGAAGAAGCTTAGGAAAACCACAGCCAATCTATTTCCTTGTTATTTTCCACTTTACAAATGAAAAAGTGCAATACATGCTAAAAATAGTATGTCTAACTAAGTCTGAAAAGGATGTTTCAATAAGTACAAAATAAAAATTCCAAGTAATAAGAAAGCAATCACAATTTAATTGGCACCATCCTTTTCTCTCTTAAGAACACATAAAACAGCATTTTACAATCAGTGGGGTCTTAGATCTGATGAAATGCCCCAGGAAGTCACCAATTAGCTGGAGCTGACATTTGGAACTAAATACTCCCCCTCCCCCGCCAGCCTTACTGGACAGTTTGTGAGTGCACCATCATCATTATCTTCCCAAGGTGGCGTCGGCTGCCTGCGGACAGAGGTGGTGTCTCCTGCAGCACCCAGCTCAGTTCTGGGCACAGGGATGGGATGGCATCTGTTGTAAAGCACCAGAGAAATACCCCAGAGGAACAAGAAGGTAGTAAAATATGGTGCAAATGTACACTTACAAAAAACAACAAATTTTCCTTTGAGAGTTGAAGGCCCTCTAGGATCTCTAGGGCTTTCCACCCAGTGCTCTGTGGCCACGTGGAAGTGACATAAGTGACATGCAGAGTGAATGGCCAGCCAGCCCCACTGGCCACCTTCTACAGCCCTTGTCTGGCCCCTCCCTATCTCATATTCCACCCCCTCTGCGCACCCTGGACTCATTTCCTCAGTGGACAGTGATTAATCCCTGGAACTCAGGTCTTGCAGACACAGACTCAATAAACACTCCAAAGCAATTTAGACACAGGCCCCAGCACGTCCTCCTCACACACGGCTCCTCACGGACTGGCCCTGCCTCACTCCCTCAGCCCTGGGTCCTTCCAGGACAGCTACCTTGGCTCTCAGGCCCCTTCCTGCTGCAGGCCCCAGTGGCACCACCTGGAAGGGGTCGCTGCAGTAGGATGAATAGAATGGAGGCAGTGGCACCGTGAGCTTTCACAGCCCAGGAAGCTCCCTCTGTACAGTTTGAGACAGTAGAATCTTCAAGTAACTTGCAGCCAAGTATTCCTGACCTGGCTGGGATTTCCCTGCAGCCTCTGTGCAAAGGGACTATCTCTTGACTCTTTACCATGAGAAAGCCTGACTTCCTGATCTGTGCTCTTCCAGAGTCTGAGACAAATAAATTCCTACCTCATCTCATCATCCACCACGGTCACCAGACCTTTGTGCGAATAACCTTTGTTCCCAAAACATCGATTTGTCCCCCAAAGGCAAATATTTACAAGCATTTTGGATGTGCAAATGATTGTGCTGTATGTCTGAAGTCAGTTCCACAGGAGAAGCTCAAAGACTTCTGTGCAAGGACCCTGTCATTGCAATAAGTGTATGCCTCCTTGCATGAGTGTTCTGAGGGGAATAATGAAATCTAGACAGATCTGCTTTGGAATATCAAAAAATGAGTCATTTCTCTGTAGAAACAGTTCCTAAACATTGCCTGAGAATAAAGTCCTTCAAGAGGCTCTCTAGAAACGCAGCAAACATGCATTCCCATAGAAGCCACAAATCAGCTAAATAGGTGTTCACTAGAACGTAAGTTCTGTGGGAGCAGGGACTTGTGTCTGAGTGCTACTGTCCATCCAGAGCCCAGCGCACTGGCAGCACGGGTCACATGAAAGGAATGCGCGCTCCAGCGGGTGCTGTATGGTTTTTAACCCTCAGAGTGGGGTGAAGCCGGCACTTCTACAAAGGCTTCCCTGCCAGCCTGATTCCAGGCCTCCTCAGCACCAGTATCGCAACCTTGTCCTCCAGAAGTGGCTGTCATACCTTTTGTTCATATATTCCCATAAGAATTTTGAAAAACTATAAACCCTCTTGCATATTATTTTAATTTGACAGCAAGTATTTTTCACCTCATGGTTAAATAGTTATATTTCTAATAGATGAAATTTGAAGATGCTATAAATACTGATATTTTAAAATTAACCTTTTAAATTATTCTTTTCAATGATCGACTGTAACAATGAGAAAACGCAACATTATTGTCCATGTAAAAATGCCAGTGATGTGCCATTTTGGGGCCAAAGTCCTTTTGGTCCTTTGGTTTCTCTGCAATTATTGAGCACTTACTATTTGTTCTCCTCTGCATGAAGTGCTATGAGGGATGTCCTCCAGCACATTTAACTGGGTGCTGCTTTGAATATGGTCCCTCAGGGAGGTGAGATACAGACAAATGAAACAAAACAAAGAAACGTGAAACCGCCCAAACTGGCCTGAATGACCACGGCTGGAGGAGGCTCTGTGTGCTCTGAAGGTGAGCTCGGGTGCACACAGGTGGGGACGGCTGCAATGTTAGGATGTGGTTTCCAAAGGCATGGAAACAGGCCAGTGATTTCCCCCAGATCACACAGGCCCTCATATGTTTTCAGCATCTCTCTTGCATAAACATGTGTTTACCTACAAAGGGACTTGGGTACAAGTTCTTTGGTGACCCCAGGAGGGTCACAAGGTATCGCATATCTGAAGCTCTAAAGATCAAAATCATAAGGAAAGTTTTAAGAAAAAAGAGCAAATAACAACAACAACAATAACAACAACAACAACTAAGAGATTCCCACACTCTACCCCAGACTGCCGGTATTAACATCTTTAGAAGCAGAGCCAGTGATCCCAAGCTCCCTGCGTGGTTCTCACATTCTGAACGCAGAGCCCACTGACTGTGACATGCCCCACCGTGCATACTGTAGAATACTAGTCCTATTAGATGCTCCTGGAAAGAAGGCTCTGTGGTTGACTTCTTTCTTAAGAAGTTGACTTCTTCTTTCAACTTAAATGAGCTTGTAGATGACTACATATTGTGACTGGCTTTTGATGACTCGCCATACCAGGTAGCTTATTAAAAAGGCCTTGAGAAGTTCTGCAGTAAAGATATCTGTGTAGTTTTTTTTTTTTTAGCCTATCACTTCTCAAACTTACTGGACCTTAGAAAACATATCTGTATCAATAGATATATTTATACACAAATATATGTATCTCCCTACAACAATATCCCGTGGTATACATTATGGGAAATGTAGGGGGGAGAATTGACAGAAATAACCTGAAGACACCACTCCAGTCAACTTTTACAGCTCCCAGGGATCTGTGGGGGAGGCGTGAGGAGACACTGCTGTTTCCCACATACACGCACGATTTAAGGAGCATGTATGCACTGTGGGAAAGCTGGGAGGGGCAGTCCTATTCAAGAGACATTTTGCACATGGAAACCTTGGGCTTGTTTCCTACCATCCATCCTTTTTCAGCTTTCTGCAGAGGGACCATGTTTGTGACCTGCCCGCTAGGAGCAACACCGCAGGCTGAGAGGAAGAGTGTGAGCTTTGGGAGCCGAGGTCAGGAGTGAGTGCACTTGGGATATCTAGGGAGACAGGACTAACTAGTGGGCACCAGTTTGTTTTGTGGAACACCATGAATAGGTCTTGGCAAAAACTTTTTAAGCCTGTGTACAAGGCTTAAGAAAACTCTTTTCACCCGGGATCATTCCCTTAACCATATTTGAACAAAAGTTCCCATTCCCCAGTCATAAAAAGTAATAGGTTGTTTACAAGTATCTCAGGATCTTGGAGAGTGGAGATTGAAAACGTGACTGCACAGCTATCGTACACCACACCTGACAAGCACAAAGAGACAAGATTGAGGAAGCTGCAAAATTCCTCCTTGTAGAAACAAACAGGGGCTTCCTTAAATCGAGACTGGCGGAGGAGCTCAAGTGAAAGAATTACGACGTCTGTGTTCTGGGAAGACGCACCCTTAGAACATTTACAAGGAAAGGAAAAGTACCAGAACTATGTTGGGAGAATGGCATAATAATGGTTGTGAACTAGTTTGGCGAGAGAAAGCAAAACATAATGTAAGTGGCCCTTTTCCCTGCATGGGAAAGAGCTAGGGCCAGTCTGAGTTGATGTTTCTATAAATGACACCCAGCCATAGTACAAGTGATGTATGTTTTTACATTTCTAGAAAACACTGAGCTCTCCCAGATGGTGAAACGCCAAGCTGGTAGTGATAAACAGCAGGAAGCTGGGTGAGTGGGCAGCAAAGCAGCAGATGAGCTTTAGTATGGTGAGAACAAGGTGATACACTCTGGGAAAAATAAAGTAAATGCCGGGTAGGAAAGATGACGATCTCTGAGGTGTCAGCTACAGCCCAGAAAAGAGCTGAGTATAAACCCAGAGTGTGTCATGGTGGAGAGGGGCTAGGGGACAGACTCAACTCTGTCTCCATACTCACAGGACCAGGTAACT